CTCCAGGATGTCACCCATACTTCCGTGTCGTGTTATCTTTCACTGCCTTGCCAAAGCAGGCTGGACACCACAACAGCCTGAGACCAGGGTTTACTGGTCCAATGACAGGTTGAGAAGCAGAGTACTGGGAAGTCCTGCTAAGTCTCTGGAATCTACAGGAACTTCCCAGAATTGAGTGTGTTCCTTGAAGAGGCTGCCAATCCCCAGACTGAGGTATTATGCCCTCTCCCGGAACTGTCATCCTTACCCATTTTAAGTTTCGAATTTCACTTGCTAAGTGAAACTCACTTTGCAGATAGACAGTTGAAGCCTGCTGAAGTCCTCAGAGCGCATGGCTCTGTATTCCTCTAGCTATTTCTCTGTCCCTTACAAAAGAGAGGTTGGAAATGGAAGTGGAGTCTCACTAAGGTGGCTGTAAGAGAGATAGCAGAACAGCAGGTAGATTTTGAAGAGAGGAAAAAAGAAAAATGCCACAGCCTTAGAAAGCCGTTCTAGTTTATGGGAAATTTGAGCTGAAATGGGTGGGGCTCAGAAGCTTCTTAAAATTAAAACTTTCAATATTCACCTTTCATTTATTCATTCATTCATTCCAGCATTTCCTTAGCTCAAATCACTGCTAATTTCATTGATGAGGATGTGGATGAGGATGAGAGGCAGAGAAGCAAATTCTTGGATTCCTGGAGAATACAGACACAGAAGAGGCCTTGAGCCCTGGAATCACTCAGACAACCATGCATCCTTGAGACAACACAGAAACTTCCGAGAAACCTGAACTTGGGGCTGCTGGGAGGCAGGTCGAGAAAGAGTAAATCGTCTACTCCTGGGGCCAAAACAGAGCAAGGAGGCAACCTGAAGCAAATGAGAGGGAGTGAGTACTGGGGAGGAAGAGGAGCCTTCTAGAGTGTTGAGTAGAGAGAGACTTGGCAGGAAAGGGGAAGGAGAAGGTCATCTTGTTTGCCACTAAAAGAATGAGGAAGTGGTTAAAGTGGCATGTTTCGCAGGAAGCCAAGCTGCCCCTGAACTGCCCCTTTTCCTATCTTCCTCTTCCTGGGCCAGCACTCAGCGTGCTTTCCCAGATCTATGCCCAGTGGCAGTTCATGAGGCTGTCACACTTTTAGTGATAAGTATTTAACAGGCAATAAAAACTCAGGGCTAGACATCTATCCAAATCTTCATAAACTATATAGAACTATAGCACAAACTTGAAGAATAAAATTGCTTTTGAGACATGTAAAAATTATGATGAAGTTTGGAAAAGGCTTAATTTTTAATAAATCAAAATGACACTTTGGTGACACAATTCAATCTTCTGGGAAAAAACTCAGATGTATGTCATTACCACTGAAACTAAGAATGAACCACTCAATGATGCAATTGAGTGTGATGCTGAAATGAAAAATACAACTTTTACAGTCATATTTTTTCTTTTTAACCTTCAGCTCAATGATATTACATTTATTGACTAGTTTCACCATGTGTAGAATAATAGTAAATTAGGATTCAATCATCTAATTTTTTTAAACTAAATCTCTATCCAGGAATAAGGCTATAAAATGCCTCTTAAAGGTAAATTACAGAGCAAACAATAAGGAGAACAGCCTTCTCTATAGGTAAATATCAAAAAGCAGATACATAGTATGTGTTATAAAAAAGCATCTTTTGTCAGAGCTAGCTTGGTAGGTTTTATCATTCTTGTGGCTGCTGGTGTTTTTAAACTGCAAGAGAAAAAAAACATCATATCTTAAGGTCATCTTTATCCAGGTCTACTAGAAGTGCTTTGTGGAGTGGAACTTGACTGTCACACTTGCAGGATGCATTTTATCCTAAAGCTCTTCTCATCTTAACTCTGGGTAGAGAAACATATCAAGTCAAAAAATAAGCCCCAGATATTTATAAAAAGGAAAATTCAACTTATAATCATCAACATTTAAAAATTCTGACAATATTCTTTTAGTTATAAAAAAAGAAGAAAAACACTTCTAGAACTACTAAGATAGTCCAAAGTACTGATTATTTTAGTTAAAAATTCATTCAAAATGAAGTCGATTAACAATTTCTGTTACATTGATAGGTATTCTGAGGATTATTCAAATGTTCCATGAGAGTTTTTGTATTATACAGCTAATTCCAGGTATTTCTAGAACTGAACTTTTTGCTATTCTTCTTACTAATGATGTTTACTATTTCCTTATTTATTTGTTTAGAGACAGAATCTCGTTGTCACCCAGGCTGGAGTGCAGTGGTGGGATCTTGGCTCACTGCAGTCTCTGCCTCTCTGGTTCAAGTGACTCTCCCACCTCAGCATCCCAAGTAGCTGGAACTACAGGTGTGCACCCCCAAAGCCGGCTAATTTTTTTTTTTTTTTTTTTTTTGTAGAAATGAGGTT